AAAGGAAAAACTTTTAATTAAAAAAAAAAAAAAAAACCATGAATTGAATGACATTCAAAGAAAAAAAAAAAATAGAGAAAAAGGAAGGAAGGAAGAAAGGAAGGAAGGAGAAAAGGTTAAGTGTGGGTGTGTGTGTGTGGGAGAGAGAGAAGAAATATTATTATTATCATCATCGTTTTTCCCCAACGTTTATAAACAAAAAAAAAAAAAAATGTCTTAATGGCAGAACGTTATATACATAAAATTATTTATTTTTTTAAGTTGGTAAAATCTTCTTTTTTAAAATTTGAATGATTTAAAAAAAAAAATCTGGAAACCTTTTTCAACATCCCATTACATTAAATTTTTTTTTCGAGGGGGGAGTGGGAGGAGGTGGGGTTGAGGGGAGGAGAAAATTCGAAATCTTTTCAGGTCGTATAAGAAATTTTTTTTTTTTTATATTCGCAAAAAAAAAAAAATGTCGGCATCGTTTTCGTTCAAAGGTTTCCACATTTTTCTTTCCATCATCGTCAGCATAATATTATTATTGATTTTTATGTTTTTGATCTTTTTATTATGCATTTAAATATATTTTCGAAACCGTCAAATGTGATAAATTATTATTATTATTATCATCATTATCATTATTATTTTAATCTCGAACGGTTTTGTTTTTCATTCGAAATTTTAAAAAAAATTTTTTAAACGTTTTTTTTTTTTTTAAATAAATAATTAAGTCACTTAATAATAAAGTAAAGTGAGAGAAAAAAAATTAATTAAACTTTATAATAATAATAATAATGATGATGATGATGATTAAAATTAATTGATTTTTCCCATTAAATTTTTCCAGATTTTTCCATTAAATAATAAAAAAAAGGGGAAAAAAATAATTGTGAAATGACCAAGTTGAAAACATCTTCGTCCAATCTTTTACTCTTAATATTAAAATTTATTTGTTTGGTCGAAGGAAATGACGTCACATATATTAAACACGACGATGAAGTCCTCCGAACGGAACGTAAGCATTAATATTAATAATAATAATAATTACATTTTTTTTTCTTATTTTTCTTTTTAGGCATAATTTAATACATTTATAATTTTTTTTTTTTTTAAATGAACTTTCATGAAAACAAGATCGATCGATCATTTTTTTTTTTTTTGTTAAATTATCGATTTTTTTCTTTCAAGATGAAAATGATTCGACAAATTACAACAGGATAAATGATAAATTTTACACCGGAAATGATGAAAAATTAACAAAGTACGAAGGAGAGGAGGAAAAAAAGGAAAGCAACGAGACAAAGGATATTTTGGAAGAATTACGTGAGTTATTTTTTTTATTTTAAATTAATAACAGTAACAATAACAACAACAACAACAACTACAACAACTACAACAATAATAATAATAATAATAATATTAATATTTGATTCGTAATAAAAAATATAAAAACGATTCATGTATCGAATTTTGAAAAAAAAAAATATATATTTTTTATTACGAATCAAATATTAATATTATTATTATTATTATTATTATTATTATTACGCATTAAAAATTATTATTATTATTTACATCATTATATTGAAAAAAAAAAGAAAAAACAGGGAAGGAAAAAAAAGAAAAGTAAATTTAATACATTTTCTCGTATCTTTCGACATTAAATAAAAAAAAAAGATAATAAAATATTTTATTACTCGAACATACAAAAAACCAAAAACCATTTTTTATATTCGTTTAGCATTTGTTTAAATGTACACACGCACGCACACGCACATACCCACACAACAACAAAAAAAAAAATAGGAAAATTTTATTTATTTATTTTAACAGAAAAAAAAAACGCGTAAAATAACAATAGAAAGCAAACACGTGTATAAATAATTTTTTTAGGGTTTAAAATATACGAGCAGAAGATATTTGGAAATTTTCAATGCGATTAAAACTTTTTGTTTATAAAAAAAGAATTAATTATACCGTTCGTTGTTAATTAATAAATATTTAAACAAATAAAAAAAACGAGAAAGGAAAATGAAAAAATTATTATTTGTTTTTGTCCATAAGTTAATAATTAAACTTTCACTTTCTGTTTTTTGTTTTAAAATATCCACGTGACTGATAAAATAAAATTTTTGTTTTTTTTGTAATGATAAGAATATTATTATTTTATATATATATTAAAATCCATTACGTAGATGAATGTGCATATATTCCCATAGGAAAGTTATAGTGGGTGCGTGTGTGCGTGTACACAAGCAAGTATTGAAGAGTTTCGACCGTTAACTAGAGTAAGAGAAAGTCATTTTTTTTTTTTGTTCGACGTGTTACGTTACAAAAAGTTCTAACATCAAATTTATTTATTTAAAATTACCCATATTTGCTATACGCGCGCACACACGCACACGCACACATGCACGCGTACGTTAATAAATAAATAAATTAATTTTAACATGAAAGAAAAAGAGAAAGAGAGAGAGAGACAACAAAATGACAAAAACGAAACTTTTTTTAAATGTATATATACAAGAGGAAAATTTTAATTAATTTTCATTTTCTTCTCCATTCCTCTTTCTTCCATGTACTTTTTTTCTTTTTTCTCCAGTAAAATTTTTTTCTTCTGGAAAGTTTATTTTACTTCGTTTTCCATTTTTAAGGGTTTCTTTTGAGTAAAAAAATAATTTGATTTTTTTTCCCCTCCCCCTTCCTCTTTTATTTATTTCACACCACTATTTTTGATATTATCATTATTATCATTCATTATTATTATTATTATTATTATTATTCATTAAAAAAAACTATTTAGAATGAAATTAATAATATTAGTAAATATTTATAAATAATAATTTTTGTTTTCGTGGTGAAAAAATACTGAAAAAAAAATTTCACTTAAGGAAGTGGACTTATCTCGTTTTGGTATTGAACGAAATATTTCATTTTAAATAATAAACTTTAGATACCTGTTAAGGTATTCAAAACTCACAAATACTTTTTAAACTACTACCGAATGAGTATCGAGTGTTTTTTTTTATTAACTTTTCATTTTGTTTATAACAAAAAAAAATAAAAGTGTCGTATAAACTTTTTTTCTTTTGTAATTTTTTTTAAATTTAAAAATGATTCGTTTAAAATTATAAATATTATTATTATCATTATTTTAATTAACGGTCGTTAATTAAAAAAAAAAAATTTAGTTTCGAATTTCAAAAAAAAAAGGCGGGAAAAAAATTTTTTTTTAAAAATGAAAATTTATCAAAAACATAAAACGAAAAATAAAATAAATTATTTATTTAATTTATTTATATTATTATTATTTATTATTAATAAAATAAATTCCGAACGTAATAATAAAGTTCCTTTTTTTTCAAACGATAATAATAATAATAATAATAATAATGGTGGTAGTAGTAGTAGTGGTGGTGGTGTCAATACGGAATGTGATCTTGTTGATAAAAACGTTGATAAACGTTCAAAAGGATTTCAAAGTGTTTTGAATAAAAATAATAATAATAATAACAATAATAGTAAGGATGAGATTGTATTTAGAAACGACGACGATGATGATGATTTCAATGATGACGATGATGATGACGTTATTGTTAATAATAATAATAATAATAATAATAATAATAAGGAAAGTGATGGTGATGATGATTATGATGATGCATTTTACGATGGTGGTGAAACTGAAGGTAAAAGATACGAAGAAATTAAAATGCTTACAAGAGTTCAAAGGATAAAAAATAATAAAATATCCGAAGCTCCGAGAGGAGTTCAAGATCAATTTATTGAAATGCTCGGAAGTAGTAAGTTAATTAATTAATTAATTAATTAATCAAATAATTAATAAATTTATTTAATTTTATTTATAAATAAAAACCTGGAACGAACGTCAAAATATTATTTAATAAATCAAAAAAAAAAACAAAATCGCAAGCATACGTAATTACGAAATTAATTATTTATTATTATTATAATTATTATTATTATGGTGAAAAAAACAAAAGTGAATTAATGAATTTTTGTTATTCATTCATTCATTCATTTAGTCATTCATTCGCTCATTCACTCATTCATTTTATAATTTTTTTCTCCCCCTCAAATGTAAACGTAATAAAATTTAATAATGGCGGTCGTGAATAAAAAAAAAAAAAAAAAAAAAACGTTTTAATGCCTTTTTAATAATGAAATTATATTATTATCATTATTATTATTATTGTTATCATCATTATTTCGGCGTTAATTTAAATTATTTAAATAATTAATTATTATAAAGGCGAAAAAAAGGTGAAAAAAAGGAAAAGTGAAAAGGGAAAACGAAATAAAATTATAATTATTAATAATGATAATAAAACTCGTTTTATCACATTGACCACGTCATCAACGGTCAGGTGAAAAATAATACACCTGAAAGTGAACATAATAATAATAATAATAATAATGATGATAATAATGATAATAATTGTTCGGATGAAAAGAAATTAGAAAATTTGCCCCAAGACAAATGTTTAATAATAATTTTTTTTTAATAAATTTGGTTTTGTGGTGCGTACGTGCGTGCGTGTGTGCGTTATCAGTCGATACTAACTTTTCATAAGAAAATAAAAAAGAAAGGAAAGGAGTCATTTTAATAAATAAAAAAAAAACTTTTTTTGTTTTTCCAGTGATTCCACAATCGTGTTGGTACAAAGGAGTCAAATTCGATTGCGGTTTATCAATATCATGCGTATTGGCTGGAGGTAAACCTTTGGATTTATGTTCTGGTGGTATGATATGGTCCTGTTGTGTTTCTCCAGAAAAAATAACCGTTAAAGATCCAAACATAGGAGCATTACAAAACGCGAGTAAGTAAAAATTAATAATAACAATAATAATAATAATAAATTTTAAATAAATAAATAATAAACGGCGGGAAATTTTAAATAAAATAAAAATTTTTTTTTTGGCAACTCATTATTACAACTTTTATATTTTTATTTCGATTGTCATTCGTTATAATAATAATAATAATAATAATAATTTTTGTCGTACAACTTTCTCCGACGAATAATTCGCGAAATTTTTTTTTTTTTTTTTTTTTTTTGTAATCGAAATATTTCACCGTTAACGATTTTAACCGAAAAAATAATAATAATAATAATAATAATAATAATAATAATAAAACGAAAT